GGTCGACGACAAGGTGACGTCACACCGTCCAAAATCTGTGTCAAAGGACCGGAGGAACGAGGTACTTGAAACCTGGGCAAGGAAAGAAAGGGATGTGTCGTTCCTTTCTCCTGTTCCAGAACCCCACAATTCCCAAGAGTATAAACCCCCCCTCGCCAGTCAAGTTGAAGAGCAAGGTGCCCCCCAGAGCCTACAATTTACTTTGGGCTTGTGTTTCGTGGTCGCTGGTGATAAGGTATGGGGTTGCGAAGGGAATGGGCAGGTTAATGTGGCAAGTTCATGATGGTGGCGTGTCTGGATACGCCCAACGCGCTCAGGTCCGACCGTGTGGTACAGTTGTGCATTTCATCCCGTAACATTTTCTTGATTCACCTGATATACGCCGGGACGACGCGAAATGGCCAGATCCAGAGCTGCTGCTGAGAAATGCACCAACATCATGTGCGCGCATATAAGCCTGTCATTCTCACACTTGTGCATCCGGCTCTATTTCCAACTCTTTTACCATCACAGAAACAAGCTCGAATAAAATGCCTTCACGCACCCAAAAAAGAATCGTCATCGTAGGCGGCGTCGCAGGCGGCATGTCCGCCGCCACCCGTCTGCGCCGCCTCGACGAGAAAGCACTCATCACCGTCTTCGAAAAGGGGCCCTACCCGAGCTTCGCAAACTGCGGCATCCCCTACGCGCTGAGCGACGCCATCCCCGACCGCAACTCACTCCTGCTGCAAACGCCCGAGGGCTTCAAGAAGCGGTTCAACGTCGACGTGCTCGTCAACCACGAAGTGACAAGCATCGACCGGGCGGCGCATGCCGTTACTGTTTTGGGTCCAAACAACGAAACGAAGACCGTGACGTACGATAAGTTGATCCTCGCGCAGGGCGCCGCGCCGCTCACGCCGCCTATCCCGGGCGTGGACCTGCCGCATGTGTTCCATCTCACCACCATTGGCGATCTCGACGCCGCGAAGGCGTATATCGCCGGACACAAAGCCAAGACGGCCGCGGTGATTGGGGGCGGGTTCATTGGGCTCGAGGCGGCCGAGAATCTGAAGCTGGCGGGCCTGGACGTGACGCTCGTCGAGCTGGCGCCGCATGTCCTCCCGCCGCTGGACGCCGACATGGCCGAGCCGGTCCATGCCGAGCTGCGACGGAACGGGATTTCGCTCGCCCTCGGTGACGGGGTCGCTAGTATCTCTCCCGACGCCGTGACGACCGCTTCCGGCCGCGTCGTCCCCGCGGATGTGGTCTTGCTGGTGCTCGGCGTCCGGCCACGAACCGAGCTCGCGCGGGCCGCCGGACTGCCGATCGGCAAGGCGGGCGGCGTAGTCGTCGACGTGCACATGCGCACCGACGATCCGGACATCTACGCTGTCGGCGACATGGTCGAGACGGAACACCGCGTGCTGGGCCTGCCGCGCGTGACGGCGCTCGCCGGCCCCGCGAACCGCCAGGGCCGGATGGCCGCGGACCACATCTGCGGACGGGCCGTAGGGTACCGCGGCAACGTCGGCAGCGCTGTTGTCAAGGTCTTTGAGATGACGGTAGGCGTGGTCGGGTTGTCGGTCCGGGAGCTGAGGAGGATGGGGCTCGATCCGCTGTGGGTGTCTGCGCACCCGCCCGACCACGCGGGATACTATCCCGGCGCGCATCCGGTGTCGCTCAAGGTTGCGTTCCGGAGGGGTGATGGCCGGTTGCTTGGCGCGCAGGTGATCGGCGCCGCGGGCGTGGATAAGCGCGTCGATGTGCTTGCGACGGCGATGCAGGCTCACATGTCGATTTTCGATCTCGAACATCTCGAGTTGGCGTATGCGCCGCCGTACGGGTCGGCCAAGGACCCGGTGAATATGGCGGGTTTTATTGGGGGGAATGTGTTGAGGGGAGATGTGCGGGTCGTGCATGCGGATGAGATGACGGCGGAGGACTTAGAGGGGATGCAGGTTGTTGATGTGCGCGGGCCGGGCGAGCTGGCCAAGGGGTTTCTAAAGGGGGCGGTGAATATTCCGATCAATACGCTGCGGGAGAATCTGGACAGGTTGGATAAGGAGAAGAAGACGCTGGTTTATTGTCAAGTTGGGTATCGTGGGTATCTGGCATACCGTATACTGGAGCAGAGTGGGTTCAAGGACGTGGTTAATCTGGATGGCGGGTTCAAAACCGTGGCCCAGAGCGGGTTGACGACATTGCAAGCTTCAAAATAACTAGGGGGTGGGCTTTGGATCAGGACGGTCCGGTATGCGCTTGACAAGGAACAGAATTTATGGCCTGTGCAGAATCCGATGCCTTTGGAAAGAAAGAAAACGCCTGTACGGAATATATCGAATGATAATTTAATACGTTAAACGGCGTTTGTTCGTAGAAGAAAAGGTATTGATCTGCTTCCGTGTCATATTCCGGTGTAAGCCAGAGCCCGTCTTTTACCCCCTTTCCCCCCTATGCGATTAAATCCGCAATTTTTTTTTAGCTATACGTATCAAGTCTCTCTCACCCACAACTTCCTGCCAGTCAGTCCATTAGCCGCGAAGAACATCTAATAGGGCATCAGAAGTTCTGCCAGGGGGGGCAGTGGGGTTGACGTCGGAGGTTCTGAAGGTTCGAAAGAGGAAACTCAGAAACAGCTCAATCCCCGAGCGACGAGAAATGCCTGAAAACGATCTTTGTAATAAAAAAGTATCCATTTCGCGACTTCTCGCCAACACTTTATGCCCCTCAGATTCCTGGGGTATAAACCGTAGATCCATCGACAAACACTCCAAATCGGGTATGCCCCTCGTCCCAGACCGTACGGGGATTGTTATCTCCTCAGTCCTGCAGGCTGCAGGACAGCCAAACCCGAGCGGGGTAGTTGTTCACACTCCAGTGTATTCCCTCAACTCTCTTTCGTTTTTTTTTCCCGCACTGTATAGTATGCCAGTACCTTAAGCAGTCAGACATCATGGCCGTAGTCGACTTGGCAACCACGCACTACCAGACACTCGTAGCCGGCGCGCTAGCCGTCTCGCTCGTCCTCTTCTGGTTCATCCCGACCGTCCGGCAGTACCTCCGTCTCCGCCACATCCCCGGACCGTTCAGCTCCGGATTCTCTAAGCTATGGTTGCTACGCGGCACGCTCAGCGGACAACTTCACCTCAAATTCTACGAGGCAAACCAGAAATATGGGTCCATCGCGCGCATCGCGCCCAACGAGGTGATCACCAGCGACCCCAAGCTGCTCCGGCACATCCTAGCCGTGCGGTCTCCCTACCAGCGTTCCGACTGGTACCTGGCTCTGCGCTTCAACCCGCACCGCGATAATCTCATTACGCTCCTCGACGATGACGAGCACACCAAGCTGCGGGCCAAGATGGCCGCCGGGGTACTTCCCTCTCCCCTTCTCATCGTCCGCAAGCCACAGACTAACACACCCAAGTACTCGGGCCGCGAGGTGGACAACCTGGAGCACCGCATCGACCGCAACATCCTAGCGCTGGCCAACCTCATCGCGACCAAATACATGCCAGCCAACAAGGCATTCGACTTTGGCCGCAAGGCGCAGTACTTCACCCTCGACGCACTCTCCGACATCGCCTTCGGCCGCATCTTCGGCTTCCTCGCCTCCGACTCGGACATGTACGCCTACCTCGAGACCATGGAACAGCAGCTCACCGCCATCGCCGTGTCCATCGTCTACCCCTGGATCGTCTCGGTCGTGGCCTCGCCGCTCTTCGCGCGCCTCCTGCCCTCGCACCACGACGCCCTCGGCTTCGGGCGCATCATGGGCATTGCGCGCGACACCGTCGCGGCACGATTCCAGGGGGATAGTACCGACAAACTCAAACACGTCGCCGACGACGCGCCGCGCGACATGCTCGGCTCCTTCCTCGCCCACGGTCTCACCCGCGACGAGGCCGAGTCCGAGGTTTTGCTTCAGATCATCGCAGGCTCAGATACAACGGCGACGGCGATCCGGGCTACGGCGCTGTACCTTGCTACGAACCCGCGCGTCCTGTCACGGCTGCGTGCCGAGTTGGAAAGTACCGCTCATGCAAACCGGCCGTGGGACGAGGTCATCTCGTATGCGGACGCGCTCAAGTTGCCCTACCTGCAGGCTGTTATCAAGGAGGGCCTGCGCATCTTCCCGCCCGCGACGTCGCCCGTGCCGAAACTCGTCCCGCCGTCGGGGGATACCTGGGACGGCGTCTACCTGCCGCCCGGGACCAAGGTTGGGTATTGCGCGTGGGGTGTGTTTCGCCGACCGGATGTTTGGGGCGATGATGCCGATGAGTTTCGGCCGGAGAGATGGCTGGTCGAGGACGGAGCCGATCCGGCGAAGGTGAAGGAGATGGATGCGACACTGGATCTGCATTTCGGGCTGGGGAGGTGGCAGTGTCTGGGGAAGGGGGTTGCGTTTATGGAGCTGAACAAGATATTTGTTGAGGTGAGTTATTACGAAGTGTGTCTTTGGTTTGTCGTCATCAGGTACTGACATCGTCTTTCCCTGTAGCTCTTCCGGAGGTTCGATCTTGCCGTCTTGAATCCTGACAAACCCTGGGAGTCGCGGAACACTGGGCTATTTATCCAGTCGGAATTCTGGATGAAGGCGACATTGCGTGAGGGAATCAAACCAACGTGATGGAAGGGGTATTTGGAGTGGGTGTTACAAGTGGAGTTGAGAAAGCCCTGTTGCTAAGGATGCTTGTTTGTGGAAGAGAGGATGGCCCGGTGGCCATGGCTAAAAATACAGTTGCTGTGGTCCGTGTGTTCCCTGCCTGGCCTAACACTCGGCATTGTTTCCCCAGGGAACCTATCTCAGCTATCAAGAAACATAGAACAGATTGTGACCTGCATCTATTTGGAGGTCTTATGTCCACGTCAACCACATCTGAACTTTTGTTGAGTGACCGATGAAGAAGATGGATATGACCGATAACGCTGGCCAACTGTGTTTGTTGGGTTGACAAATGGATGGTTCGGTGCTTGATGGGTGAAATTTTGAGCCCAGACTTTCAACAACCGAAAAGGGCCTTGTGGCGCAACGTACGTTCATTTCACCATCCATCCGGATGAATTCTTCGCTAACAACTCCAAACAGGGTAGCGCGTTCGACTCCAGATCGAAAGGTTATCCGTTCAAATCGGGTCAGGGTCACATTCTTTTTTTGGAGAATTCATTTGAGAAAGCCACGTTTTCTCTTGTTCTGGTTTTTTTTGGTACTCACTAGCATTGCTGAAAGAAAACGTAAAGTGATCAAGAGTTATGTGGAAGATAAGGTAACTTGAATGTGACTACGGACAGAAGCCGTTCAGAGTTATTTTTCAACCCCACTCCCGACGGTCTGCTCGGAGGAGCAAGACCACAAATCACCTTAAACTTGCTCAACGCATAGATCGATTGAGACCTTGACCCTCGCCGGAGCGCCTTGAACTATTGCCGCTTCCCGGATGTCCTCCCACCGTCTCCCAGCCGGTGGAGGAATCGTTCAAGTTGAAATAAGAACCGGTGAACGCACTGTATCGCCAGTGCACGTCCCTCCTACCTACCTAATCGGTATCGGAGGCCGCACCCGGCAGCAGGGAGAGACCGGGTCCGGACCATGGCGCCGATCTGTCTAGCCGACGTCGGAGCGTCACGGTGCTCTTCTGCCCCGGCACCTCCATCTCGTCATCCGCCCATGTTTGCCATGTTACTCAGGTTCCGTGACCGGGTCAGCCGTCATAGCAAAAGAATCATTACCCTGAATAAAAAACCGGGCTGATGAGGGTCCAGAGCGACCAGTTTGCATTTTGTCAAACTGTCCGAAAAAAAAAGCGTAGGAAGTAGGTCTCGGCTGTCGGCTGGGGTCACGGCGATATGGATGCAACGGTGTCCGGTCCGGTGATGCCACCATCCCGCACCTGCGCCGCCGTTGAAATTGCCGCAGCTGATCCGATCTCATTTATTCACCCCGGTGCAAGCAACCAGCGGATCGATCCGCAACAGGCAACTGGAAGTCCGGTGCGATCGATTTGCTGGCATCTTCTTTGCCGTTTTTTAAGATCTATCGGAGATGCCCGCTGATCTTCTGTGTCGGCGGTCACTCGGTGAGAGGTTGCAGTCGCCCAAGCAATACAGCATCACGTAGTGCAATGATGCTCTGGTTCAAATAAGGGAAAGGAAAAAAAATAGGGGTGCTCCTCAGTTTTTGTCTCAAATGCTTGTGTCGTGCAAGTTTGCCCCGGTCACAAAACCAGCTTTTTCCCTCGTGCGCGTGCCCGTGTGAGCCGCGAGCCCGTCCGAACCATTGGCCCGTCCGGAAACAATGGCCCGGCCGGGGACCCATGCGGAGGGAAAACAGAATGTCGGACCGCGGTGGTCGGCCGTGGGACGAGGCAAACCTTGTATTTCTTGTCGAACCTCGGTCTCTTTTCTTGTGGATGGAAACCCGAACACATCCCAAACCCCACAGATCGGCGGCTCGGAAATAAAACCCAGAGTTTGGTCGGTGGCTGCCACGTGTGGTGTTCCTTAATTCGAACCGCAACCACCAACGATTGGTTATGTGAGCATACGGGGAAATAAAGGTCAGCATACGGATTGGTTGAGCGGGCATACAGCGCTGTTAGGTGAGCATACGCCGCTGTCATTCGGGCGCCGGTGAAACAGCAACCCTACCCCCTATTCTGATTTGATCAGGGGCAAAATGGGAGGGGTTAACCGCCGCTTCAGCGGTATGCAAAAGGAAGACTAAAGAAAAAAAAAGTGGAGGCGGCCACCGCATCATCCCGTCACAGCCGATGCTCGTCACGGGTTACCACCGACACCAGGCCGCGTGAGGGCCATGCTGATATGGTCCTCTGCAGAAAGCGCATGCACAACCCGACCGGCATATGGCCCCCCTTCTCGACGGTGATGATGCCAAGAGAGAAGACCATGGCTCGCAGTGCTGCATTTTGCTGTTGTGGTGCCCTTGGGGCGCAGGAGTTGATATAGTCGTAGATGAAGTGCCCAACCAGCTTCGCAATTAAACATGCGAGCCTATCGCCCACTGCTCATCACACCTGCCCGTTGTGTACCCCCCGGTGTTGGACCGCGGCCGCAAGACAGATTGGCTGGATGTAATCCATTTTTTTTGTTTGAATCGTTCAGCATGTGGGCCACTAGCTCCGCCGACTTTAAATTCTCGCCTCCCCGGAACTTCCTTCTTGGGCCCTTCTATGCATCGAGGAAGTTACGTCCGAAAGAGGTCGCCATGGTTGTTCTCGGCTTTCTCACCATCGTCTTGGTGCTGGGCACAACGACGGCCTTGACGATACCCAAAAACAGGCATACGCCTCGCTCTTCTGCGTGTCCTGGCTATGTGGCGACCGACGTCACCCAGGGCGATTCGTACCTCACTGCCTCGTTGACGCTTGCCGGAGCTTGCAACCTGTACAGCAAAGATATAAGCAACCTTCGGTTATTAGTTGAGTACCAAACGGGTAAAATGGCCCGCCCCAGATTTTTGCTGGAGACACGCTGACTCCCCTATCAGATTCGCGACTCCATGTGCTTATCGAGGACGCAGACTACCAAGTCTACCAGGTGCAGGAGAATGTGTTCCCTCGACCGCGATCGCAGGGCGCAACGGTGGGAAGCTCGGCACTGCAGTTCTCGTACACCAAGGATCCCTTCTCTTTCAAAGTAACCAGAAAGAAGTCGGGCGAGGTCCTGTTTGACAGCTCGTCGATGCCGCTTGTCTTTGAAACTCAGTATGTCCGGTTGCGCACACTGCTGCCGCAGAATGCAAGTCTCTATGGGCTCGGGGAGCACTCGGACAGCTTACGACTGCCGGCAAGTGGGTACAAACGGACGCTTTGGAATGCCGAGTCGCCATTCATCCCCCGGAACTCCAACCTCTACGGCTCTCATCCCATTTACTTTGACCACCGTGGCGGATCCGGCACCCACGGCGTCTTCCTGCTGAGTGCCAGCGGTATGGACATCGTCATTGACCAGGAAGACGGGCAGCGATATCTCGAATACAATACGATCGGAGGCGTGCTCGACTTCTACTTCCTTGCAGGTCCCAACCCGTCGGATGTGAGCAAGCAGTATGCCGAGGTGGCGGGACTACCGGCGATGATGCCGTACTGGACGCTGGGCTTCCACCAGTGCAAGTACGGGTGGCCCAATATCGACTATGTAGCTGAAGTGGCAGCCAACTACTCGGCCGCGGGAATTCCGCTCGAGACCATGTGGGGCGATATCGACTACATGGACCAACACCAGGACTTCACCACTGATCCCAACCAGTTCCCCTTGGACCGGGTCCGCGACTTTGTCAATACGCTGCACCATAACAACCAGCATTACATCCAAATCCTTGATCCCGGGATTCATTACCAGGCCGGGTACGGGCCGTTCGACCGCGGCGCCGAACAGGGAGCCTTCCTCAAGGCCGCCGGCGGATCGTGGTATCGCGGTCGGCAGTGGGCCGGCGAGGTCGTGTGGCCCGACTGGTTTGCGCCGGGGACCCAACAGTGGTGGACGAGCGAGATCATGAGCTTTTACGACCCCACAAAGGGCGTGCCGGCCGATGCGCTGTGGGTGGACATGGACGAGGCGTCCAACATGTGCGGCGACATCCACTGCATGGGCGACGCAAGCACGGCAGCGGCAGCGTCAGCGAACGCGAACGTCTCGGGTGACCACTTCAGCCCGCTTGTGCCCCCAACACAGTCGAAGCTCAGGCTGGGCCTCGGCGGGCGCGACCTGTTCTCGCCGGGTTACCGCATTGCCAACCACGTCGGCGACCTGAGCTCGGGGGCCCTGTTCACCAACGTGACCAATGCCGACGGCTCCCGCCAGTACGACACTCACAACCTGTACGGGCACATGATGGCCGGTGCGACGGCTACCGCCCTGCAATCGCTCCACCCGGGGAAGAGGCCGTTCGTGCTCACGCGCTCGACCTTCGCCGGCACCGGCCGGCACGCGGCCCACTGGTTCGGCGACAACGCGTCGACATGGGACGACTACCGGACCGCCATCACCCAGCTGCTTGCGTTTGCCGGCATGCATGCTATGCCCATGGTCGGCTCCGACGTGTGCGGCTTCAACCGCGAGACCACCGAGCACCTCTGCGCGCGGTGGGCCATGCTGGGAGCCTTTCAGCCCTTTTATCGCAACCACGCAGACATCTCGTCGCCCAGCCAGGAGTTTTACCGCTGGCCTCTGGTCACTGACGCGGCCAAGCGCGCCATCGATGCCCGCTACCGCCTGCTCGATTATTTCTACACGGCCCTGCACGCCGCCAGCACCACCGGCGCTCCCGTGGCTGCACCGCTGTGGTTCGGGTGGCCCGGGGACGACGCCGCGGCAGGTGTGCAGACTCAGTGGCTGTGGGGCGACGCACTGCTCGTCTCGCCTGTCGTTGACGACGAAGCTACCGGCGTCGACATTTACCTGCCCAATGACGTCTTTTATGACTTTTGGACGGGCGACCGTGTTCGTGGACAGGGCGGCGTTGTGAGGAAGGAGAATGTCGACTGGACGGAGATCCCGGTGCACTTTAGGGGGGGCTACATCGTGCCCATGAGAACTCGCTCGGCGAACACGACCACCGATGTGCGGAATCAAGACTTCACCATTGTTGTTGCGCCCGGGCTCGACGGCAAGGCCACCGGCTCCCTATATCTCGATGATGGCGTCAGCTTGGACTCGGCCAAATCAGAGATTGTTTTCAGCTGGGATGGCAAGAAGTTCGAGGCTTCCGGGACTTTCGGGTACGCCACCGACGTCGTTGTCGAGAGTGTTCGGATCCTCGGCGATACCTCGACGACCAAGACAGGTCCTTGGGGGTTGCGAAAGGGATTCAGTTTCAATCTTTAGCTTGCATTCGGCCGGATTTTGCATTTTGCATAGGAGGAGTAAGGCTGCATGGAGTAAACGGGCGTGGTATGGATTCCATCAGAACTTAGTGTCCAGGCTTCTGAGGTGTATGCTATTCTCGCATGACTGCGCTCTGAATAATCTTATTTGTTACTCTCCACACCTGCGTCTCGTTTCTTCTGCGTGCTACTGACCTCGACGCAGGATTCTGACGCCGCCGTCCACCTGTTTCGAGAAAAGTTAGCGACGCTTCGACTGATCTTCTCTGTGCTCTGTGATCGTCTGTAAAAGCACTATAT